AAAACACACGCAGATGGGCACAGTGTATGCGAGCATTTTGCTCCTGACGTAACTGGATGATGAGTGGGCGGCGAGCCTCTTTCTCTCTCTCTCGCTCCCAAAACCCCTTGAAGTTGTCTGAGGAAAACTGAGGAACAAGGCTCAGATCAGAGTTAGAAAGAGCTTATCTGTGTCAACGCATCCACGAGAGCGACAGTGAAACTCTGCTCTCATATAAGAACTGTTTGCTGTATAAATGACTTACACACTTAATACGCATTGGTAAAGACATTCCTTTTAGTTTTTATCACACATCATTCTGTGCCATCACTTTTTTTTGCATGTTGCATGTTGTTGTTTAGCAAGTGCCTGCAATTTTCTTAAATCCCAGTATTTTTAACTTGAAAGTGGATCATTTCAATTTGACTCATAATTTAAACCAAGCCTTTTGTTTTTAAGAAACACTGAAAGGATTGCTTCTCAGAGGCGTACGTAAAATAATTAAAAAGACCCTCATAGACACTTATATTTTGTCTTTGGCTCTGGATCACCTCTAATGAGACACCTGACAGTAAGACAGATGCACTAGACTCATGCCAGCCTCGTGCAGGCTCCTCTGTGTCCTCTTACAGCTAAGGGCAATCTCTTACCAAAACCTGCACTCTTATACATACACATGCACACACACAAACACACACACACACACACACACACGCACAACCCCTGACCTCTGATACCAGCCACAGCAGCTCAGAGTAGTCCCTCAGGGTGTAGCTTTGCAGACCAGTGGAAGACCAACATTGAGGGCTCAGCGTATGCCTCACCACATGGCTCTTTCTCCCACTCAAGCAAAAAAAATCTGGACAAATCATTTTTCTGCCTTGAGAATTATTTCACAGTGCAAGCAAACCATACAAGAGAGTTTTGCTTCCTGTTGTGTGTTTTACTTTTTTGCCCGCTTTTGTGTGTGCGCGTTTGATGCGGATGTGTGTCTTTGCAGCTAAATGAGGACATGTGTGACCATTGTGTTTGGGCACTGTCTCATTTGTTGACTGATTTGTTTGGGCCCTCTCTGGTTTTGGAGATAACCACGTATAACCAGATGAATATTCCTAATGGCTTTTTAATGTCTTTCTAATTTGCCCTTTAAAGGGCTCTAATGGACTGTCCCCATGTTTGCACATAGAGGAGGAACAGTGGATCTGACTCATTTAGTGGTTACCCTTGAGCCTGCACTAAAGCAGACTGAAGCATTACACTTCTTTGGAACTTCTACTTTAGGAAGTGACACAATAGCCTGATATTTTACTCAACAGCCATCATAGCTCCATTGTATTTGGCTGCCAGCCCTACGTGTCTGAAAGAGATTCCCAGGGTTTGTGCTTTAGAGGTCATGTAAAACGAAAATGCACATTTAAGAGAAGATTTCAAGGATGAGCTGGTTGGGCTGCTCTGCTGGTTTACAGACTTCAAATCCTGGTTAACAAAGGGTTTTTTGGCTTCTCTCTGTAGCGGAGGGATAAAATGTCAAAATGTATGTTTGGTGTTTAATGGTGTTGCTGTAACACTAAATGTTTTTTGAGGCCTTGATACTGGCCTCGCAAATTGACATTTGAAAATGATAGACATCTTTGCTTTTAAGAAAACAATTTGAGTAGCTCATGCATTTGGTTTTTCACCAAACTTTGACTTTTTTTTCACTCTTGTTGAAAGTTAGATGAGAAGATCAGATTTATTTCTGTACACTGATTTGACAGCTGTTTAGCTTAGCTTAGCACAAAGACGGGCTGCATTCTGAATCGCATAAGTATGATGTAAAAATTAGTATGCAGTGTGTTTCATCTGCATGGTATGTGGATTTAGTGCATATGACAAAATATCCAAATGTATATTAGATTTGCTAGAACTTATAATACTGCAGATGGATTTTACTCGACATACTAGACTTCCCCAAAGTGCATTGTGTCTATTCAGAATTTGCAATGTTGAAGATTTTGAGCCAAGCTAAAACCTAATAAATATGTTCCACTATTAAGTTTTCATATTTTTGCTGGCAAGAAAGTAACCATTTAGATTATCCAAATAATGCCTCTTTGGAAATTTGCAGTGACTTTTATGGAGATGTGAGGGAGCTGTTAGCTGGGTGAGACCGGCGTCAAGTCATGTACCGCATCACATGGCAGTCTTGCTTGAGTATACTTAAGTCTGCTAGTAAAGGCACCAACTGGAGGATGCTTGTCCTTAGATCAAGTGGGACGATCCGGCCTGCAGCAACATTCTGTCCACCTAGCAGATCTGCTGCCATACATGGGCTTTCTGGTCTTGTTCATGATGTGTGTCTGTCCGTCACATAAAACTGAGGCTAGCCAGACACGGCCAGAACAAGCTTCTCCTCTATTTCCGTCACCAGCGCTTTTCTGGAAAGTTCAGAGATTTTCTACTTGAACCACTCGGAGCGTGCGGAGCACTCAGAAGAAAGACGCTGGGTGCAGAAAAAAACACTATACGGAAACAGACCCACCATTGTTTATTTAGTAGGCAGTGAAGTACATACTGATTGAGTATGTAGGAGGCAGTATGTTGATGTGCGATTTCGAACACAGCCTAAAAAAAGCAGTCTTTGCGTCAAAGTGATGGTGGTTTCCTACAACATTTTATTTTATTTCGTCAACTTTTCTTTCTTTCTTTACCAGGATATGTGCTGAGCAACACAATAAAATCCCTAAGATAATATAATAAACAATATTGGTCATGCCCTAGTACACTGAAACTTACAGATAATGTAAATATACATCACATATTTGGTAGATCCTACGTACTTGACATCAAATACCCTCAAGGCTTTGTTGTACTCTTGTGCATGTACGTGTGCGTGTGTGTGTCTCGGTGTTGCAATGTGGAAACGGTGATGTAACACAGCCTGTGTGTCTGCCAGTTAAGCCAGTGATGGGAGGAGAGAGACATATGGAGGTTAATAACCTGTGAGCCAGGCTCTGTTTTATTGGAGTAGTTGGCCATATGAATCAGGAGGCAGATCCATGTCTGTTGGTGTGTGTGTGTGTGTGTGTGTGTCGGAAAGAGAGCATGTACAATGAAATATGTGTCATTATTAATAGCACATTTAACCTCACAGGAGGCGAGCTGCCTCTTTTGTTACACTAGAACATATGTGTTGGTTAACAGTCGTTATCACTGGCAGGGAAAGTGTGTGAGAGTAAGAGCGAGAGGGGAAAGGTGTGAGCAGAGGTTGATTGCAAAGCCATTTCCCAAGGCTTTGTCACGCTCTGTTAGCTGAGGAGCTCCATTTCAAAGACAATTTGTCCACTGCTGAGCACTTTGGCAAAGCGTGGCCTTGTGGTGAAGAAAGTCTGTAGTCTTGGGTGTCTGTGTGTGTTTGTTTGGGAAACTTTTAGCTCCCTGTGTGTGCCTTTTGTGCATGTATGAGTGATGTTTCACGGAAGAAGACCTCGTCTGAAGGTGTACGTATCTGCTTAAAGTATATACGCGTGTGCACATTTCTGAATGTGTTTCAAAAATAAGTGCAAATGAGCTTCTAAATCAATCACTTGTGACATTAACACCGATGCAAGCCCCTTCCAATCACCATCTACCAGCCATCAGTGGCTGGCTGAGTGGTCACATTAGCAGGGTCGCGGTTCGCTCTTTGGCTGTTTTTCAAGGAGATGCCGACTTGGCTGTTCGCCCACGAGATTTTTGGAGAGGTCGTTCATCATCTTCAAATCTGAGCCCTGCAGGAGCTGCTGCTGCTGCTGCTGCTGCAGTCACTTACACATGCATGTGTACAGGAGTAGAGCCTATATGCACAGAAAGTAATTGTGAACTGACAATTTTCTTGTTTGACTAGGACCTTCTTTTTTTACAGATTATTATTATATCCGACCACACAGCACCCTTCTTCCTTTCGCCAAACAAATCTAAAATATAATCTTAATTGTTACGTTTGGTTTTCAGGCCAATAACATTATGAGCTTCTTTGGCATACTGTCACCTGCAGCACCATGTATAAGAAGATCACAACCAATACTAAATTATTCATCTCAACAAATCCTTATTCCTCCAAAACAGTGGACACACACACACACACACACACACATTACATTGACTGACATTAATTTCCTGGAGACTAACTCTGAACCCAATCATAACCGCTACTTGCCTAATCCTAACCCTTACAATCACCTTAAACCAAGTCTTTACCCTAAACTGTAACATCATGGGCACATGCATCTTTTCCTCAATAGGAAGGCAAGTCCCCACAATGTAGTAAACAGAAGTATGTCCCCACAACATCAGTAAAACATGACCACACACAAACACACACATACATACATACTTGTACAGGTGCATTGTCAAATATTTTACACTACTTATGTAAATGACTGTACATGACTGTACATGAAAAGTTCAAGGTAACTCGAAAAGTTGCTCTTCTTTGTGAGAGCATCTGAAAAAAATTTTAAAATAAATCTTGGCGATGTTTTTTAGACTGTGTAAAAAATAACAGTTAGCCTTGTTGTCACATTCTTTTTTTCATGTATTTGTTAGCAACTCTTGTTGCTCGAGGGTCCGACATATTTGGGTCAAACATAACAAAACAAAATGATAACTTAGGATTCATACATATTTTATGTATCTTTTTCCTCAGCATTAGCATTTATCGTCTTATGCAACCAGATTTCCCATGCTAGATGTCCTGAAAATGTAAAATCGTGTTGTATTACTTACTCTTACTCTACTCTAAATGGGAATGTTTTGAAGCTGGAGTTGGTAATCCAGTTATACAGATATACACTCTACAGAACAGATGTGGGGAGCACAAATGTCTGTCTTTGTCTGTTCTTGTGTCTGTCTGTCTGTGAGCCACATGGAACCTAGAAATACAGGACCAAAATAAATGCTATGTAGCGTTAAAACACTTTGAGTGGTTGTAGGACTAGAAAGGCACTATACAAATACGAGTCCATTTTCAACTTGTGACTTTTTTATTTACTTTCTTCCAGGTATGCTGTTCTGCGAGACCCAGCAGGCTGGCTGAGTGTGAGCCCAGTCACAGGAACTGTCAACACCTCGGCCTCGCTGGACCGTGAGTCTCCTTTGGTCCGTGACAACAAATACACAGCTGTCTTCATCGCCACAGATAACGGTGAGTTGCAGATACCCCACTGTATAAAGATGATGGAGGTTAATTAGACAAAGTGATTAAATCATCTGTAAAACCTTCAGAAAAATAAATATCCATTTGGCCACAAATGTAATGTCTCCAATATAATGCAACAGTAATTATTAGCTCGTCAATAAAAGGCTTTGAAATTACTGTCCTAAATTGGTTCCTTCCCAGGAAACAACCGTGCACAAAAAGTGACAAAGGTTTATTTTGAACAATGTCAAAGTCCTTCCTACACTTTTTAACTAAAGGTGTAAAACCACCACAGCAACACAGATGTCAACAAAATAAGCCAGGTTCACCTCAGCTACCGCTCAAATAAACTATTGAAGGAGTTCAATGAGTGTTCAGGGTATAATTATGATAAAGATTTGAATTCATGCAGTGGTAGCTATAGCTAACACGTCTTCCCACTATATATCTATTCTCACTTGCATTACACAAATAATTCCTCCTGTGTGATGAGTGTCAGGGCATAAATATATAAATATATAGAAACAAAGCCTGCCTCTGCATTGAGTACAGTTCACTCTTGGTAAGGACTCAACCTGTTGGCTAGTTTCACCTGGCCACAGTGAAACTGTCATTATCCCGCAGTGACAATGTGATGGCCTTAAGTGGCACTGCTTCTAATGGAACATATGGTCGCTGGTTGCCAGTGTCAGTGGAGCTGCTGCTCTGAGACTTTCAATGGCACAGATGAAAGTGTTCAGAGCCCCTGCTCCTCTCTACTTTTCCTCTGGGCTTCTCTCTTCCTGCGTCTCGCTGTCTCTTTGTCCCTCTCTTTCAATATCTCTCTCCCTCTCCCTATCAATCTATCTGGTCTGCCGTGCTCAGGGAGATTCTGACAGATCCATTAAAGGAACTGAGAGATTCTATTAGTAGGCAGCAGAATAGCACTGTTGTGCTGTGGAATTCGGCAGCCTTAGAAAGATGAGTGTTGAAAGAGGAGTAATGATGGGGCAGGCGGAGGAGGTGGAAGGGTCAAAAGAACAAGAGAAAGGAAGGGACATGAGAGGTGATAACAGGGAAAATATATGAAGCCAGGGGGAGAAGGAAGAGGTGGAGAAGAAGAGAAATGATGAAGATCGTGAGCAGGCAGGGCAGGGAGTAAGATTAGTGTTGGAGCCAGAAGAGGATACGGGGGTAAGAAGATGGTTTACAGCTTTATTAAGTTCTTGAGATACTGACTGCGACAGTGTTATGTATCTGCTTTCAAGAAATTGTTTACCCTTTTTGGAAATACACTTATTTGTTTTTGTTGCCGAGTGTTAGATGAGAAGATTGATACCACTCTCGAGTCTGTGTGGTAAATATGAAGCTACCACTAGCAGCTGGTTAGCTTAGCTTAACAAAAAGGTAACAAAAATCCACCTTCTTTTTTCTAGCACCTCTAAATGTTACTAACTAATTCATTAACCTATAAACAAATCATATATTGTATTTTAAAATAACATTGTGGTCTAGTATGTGCTAAACTAAGCTAAACAGTTGCTGATTGTAGCTCTATATTTAGCGGACAGAGTTGAAAGTGATATCAATCATCTCATTTAACTCAGCAAGAGAGGTTTGGCTTCTTTTGTTCAATAAAAAATAGGTTTTGTAGAACAAATATGTTTACGTTCCTCAAAGTGAGTTCTGCTCAGGCCAATAGCAGATGGGTTCCGAGATCGAATCCAAATTGTTGGACACGTTAGAAGTTTGACCAGATGATGGCACTACACTATAAGGCCCAGGATCACTGAAGTTATTACAATGCACCTTGAGGTGATACATAAATCTTTGTCCCTAATTTCATGGCAATACATTCAATAGTCGAGACATTTGACTAAACCCAAAAATGTCAACTGGTAGTGCTAGAATAAAAGTCAGCGCATCTTGATCTGTACAGCAATCCATCCAATGATAGATTGTAGAGATATTTCAGACATGAGGTGGACCGACATTGCCAACCCTTCAGCCAAACCATAAAACTCAAACCGCACTCAATCCTATGTATGCCCAACATTTAAAAACGTGATAGATTAGAGGCACTTGGTCCATTCTGCTCCTAGGCCAATACTCTACACAGATATAAGTAACGAGAACCATAAATATCACTGCACCCAGACCTTTAACAGCCCACTGAATTGATGCTTGCATGCATGCAGTGTGTGTGCACGGGGTTAAAATGTGAGCAGAATGCTGATATACACTCGACCCCTACCTCGACTCTCTCGCTTCTCTGTCATTGACAGGACAAATTTGCTCCTTCCCCACAGCGATCTGCACAATGATTGTATGACGACCCACCTATGTAGACTACCAACAGGATATCGATTGACTCAGACATCTTCATCTTTATCTTTATGTGGAAACCTCAGATAAATACCCATCTAACCTGCACGTAAGAGGAGGAGGGTGAGAGTGAGCAATAGACCTGTGTCAAACAGAAAGGGAGGAGGTTAAAGGCGGGGCATATATGAGAAGCACTTGTACACAAAAAGATAATTGGGAAAACCATTCTGAAAAAGGAGAAAAATCGATGGAACGCAACAGGTACTAAAGTGTGACTCAAACAGCATTACATTATATTCATGTACCGTTTTTCTAGGTAAATTTCACAACACGTGATAATCTACTATCTATCGGCCATTGAATTACATATTCACATAATTAATACTTCTCAAACTGAAAATATGCTGCCAGCAACCTTGATTCTTGCGGTGTATAACTGAAAGTGTGAGAGTTTTCCTGAAGTAAATATTCTCCCCTTTGTCGTGGTCCGCCCCGGTTTAAGCCGATTTGACCTTGTGTGCTAGCTCTAAATGGGAAGTATACTCTTGGTAAATGTTTTGCGTGAGTATAGCAACAGATTGACTGTAGTTTCTGGTTAACAGCATGAGGGCAGGTCAGCTGGAGCAGGACTCCGGGCTGCAACATATGGTGAACCATGGAGCGCACACACTATTGGGAAGGCAGGGAGTCTGGTTCAAGGAAGAGATGCTAAGACGGTAGACAAAAATAGGACAAATGGAAGAGAAGGGAAGAGAAGAACACAGGATCTGGGGGGATTCAACAAGGTAGTGAGGTAATGATAATGTTAGGGTCAAGGTCAGAGGTCATCTCCGCTGGAGAATCCACAGCAGTGAGTCTCTAGTCTGGAGGGTACACTCTGTTCCCATAGCAATCAACTGCATTTGCAGGAGAGGCAGACAGGGCCATTTGTCACTCCATGGCGTGTGAAGTTGTAGGCTTCAATGGATGTGTGATTGTCACTGTGTGCGCACATACATGCATGCATGTGTGTGCATGCCTGAGTGTAAGCGTGTCTGTTTATTTGCATCCACCGGGGCTCACCTTCATCACTGCATCTGTATTTGTGCACATTGTGTCCCTCCTCCCATCACGAGTTTCTGTTTCTGAGTTTAAAAAAAGCCACAACCCAGTGCTGCCTGGGCAGCAGGAACCTGGCAGGCCGGCAGAGTGGCGCGGTATTGTTTGAGGAGATATTGTTCCAACCAGAGCAGAGGGCTTGACAGGCTGTTTATATAAACTCTCATCAGTAGCTGCTGGTTTTGCACGCCAACAAATTCTCTTCTGCTCTATGATTCCCCGCCGGGACACCAGCTGTTCCAGCATCTTACCCCCTTCTCCTTCCTTCACATTAGTTTTTTATATTCCGTGTCGGATCTGTGCGTTTGTGTGTAGGTGATTTGATGTTGTGTGTTCATCCTGTTTTTTTTCAAGTCTTTGTCCGGGTACACTCGTTGCCTCTCTAGCCTGCTCCTTGCGTATCCACTCACTGCTGTGTGTTGTGGTTCAAAGTTTTCTCCTGCTCCTCATTTAAATGTTAAACCGCCTCCTGGTGGGAACCATTTGTCATTGGGAGGCATGAATAATTTATCAAAGCCCCAATCGTGTGAAACGCGGCGGCACACACACACACACACATACTCACACACATGCAATCTTCAGTGAGTGCTGTCACCAAACCCCCTATTAAATACTCTTAAGTTATGCACAAAAGAGCTGAGCAGTGTTTGCTTTGAACACGTGGACGTACGGAGGAGTGACCTCCATTTAGAACTCAGGGTGTGTGTGTGTGTGTGTGCGTGTGTCAACAGTTAGCCAACCTCGACAGAGTCAAAGCGACATTTGTTAAGTACAGGAATATTAAGTATTACACACACATTCACGCACTAAGACCTAGCAGTGTGATAAGACTCACCATTCATCACAGTCAGATCACATCCCCTCTGGTTTAAATCAAAAGCAGGAGGCAAAAGGAGAGAGGAGACGCTGAATTCTAACGGGTCACAGAAAACAAATCGCTTTGCTGCTCAGATGGATGTAAAATTAAATAGGACTGTGTGTGCGTGTGTGTGTGTGTGCAGCATGTGTGTAGTATCTGTGCATCGCTCTGTGACAGGTCCACATAATAGGTTCATCATCTCTTCCCTCAAAAGAGAGAGAAAGACTGACAGTGGTAGTTGGCTGTCAGTAGCAGAGATGTGTGTGTGTGTGTGTGTGTGTGTGTGTGTGTGTGTGTGTGTGTGTGAGTGTGTGTGTGTGCGCACGTGCAGGCACACCATTCTGTGCATCTACATGTGTCCATCTTCGTGTACGGTGTCCACCACTGTGCCGCCTCATTGCCATACTAAGTGCTGGGAACCAGTGTGCCGCTCATTGCTTTAATGGGCTGAGTAATTTCCCTGTTTCAGGCCAGCACAGACACAATGGTTTCACATGCTAACTGTCTGTCATGTCAGAAGCACACAGTGAGGCAGCCTGGCAGGCTGAACGCAGATAGATAGACTCATGTTGTTTCCTTAGCCAGCTGTGATCGGGCTCCCCCAAACTGAATATTAAAGCACAATGAGCCAGTGTGTCAGCCCAGTGCGCTACAATCCGCTGGCCAAGAACAGAATAGAAAACAGAAGTCTTTAACATTTGTGAAGATGACTGTCAGTGTTTACAGATAGCTCAATCGTTTAGTT